AAGCTGCCAGGTCTGGCACTCGAATTGCAGTCGGCCATGTGGGAGTCCAGCACTCCCACCAAGCCACCTGCTGGCCCTGTAAAACAGGTATTTCTACACACTAGAAATTCTAGCCATTTTACATGAGACTTGATGACAATCTTAATTTTAATATCACTTTACCCATACAGCATTCTAGTGTCTTAACAGAATACTAAAAATAGTCTAACATTCTGAGTGTAACAAATAGAATGGTCAATTGTATTTAGAAGAGGCATGTTCACAGGTAGTGTTCTAAGTACTTTATTTGAAATATAAGAAAGTTTTATTGGGGCAATAGTCCTTGTCTTAATTTCCCTTATTCACTTCAAATAAGCTCTCTAATTTTAAAGAATGAATGAATTATGGCTGTCTTCACCAAACTTTCTAATAAAACTACATAATGTTAACAAAAACAAAATGGGCACCCTTTAAAGTTCTGTCACAGGAAGAACACGTTCAATGCTTCCTTTTGGAGTTATTTTGTGACACTGAACTACCAAAGAAAGGCTTCATCTAGAATTTACAGAAGCCTCTTCCAAGCTGAAAGCTGTCTGTGGTCCTGTGGGTGGTTTGAGTGTGGATTCCTGTGTGACATGGATCACAGCTTCCTGTGCACTTTCTGGTGCTGGATCAGGTGCCCATGCTGGTTAAATGCACGCCCACACTCCACACACTCGTAGGGCTTCTCACCTGTGTGGATCCGCTGGTGCTGGATCAGCACTGAGTACTGGCTAAAGGCCTTCCCACAACTGTTGCACTCATAAGGCTTCTCGCCTGTATGGGTCCTCAAGTGCACAATCAGGGTTGCTTTCAGGCTGAAGGCTTTGCCACACTCTGTGCACTGGAAGGGCTTCTCACCTGTGTGGATTCTCTCGTGCTGGATCAGAGACCGGCGTGCACTGAAGGCATGCCCACATTCACTGCACACATAGGGCTTCTCACCTGTGTGGACTCTCTGGTGCTGGATTAGGTGTGAGTGCTGAACGAAGGCCTTTCCACACTCATAGCATGAGTAAGGTTTTTCCTCCGTGTGGATGCGCTCATGGTTCATCAAAGTAGAGCGGTGGCTGAAGGTCTTCCCACACTCACTGCATTCATAGGGCTTTTCCCCAGTGTGTACATTGTGGTGCTGAATGAGGACTGAACGGTCACTGAACGCCTTCCCACACTCACTGCAAGTGTAGGGCTTCTCCCCAGTGTGAGTCCTCTGGTGCTGTAATAGCGTCCTCTTCACACTGAAGGTTTTCCCACATTCACTGCACCTGTGAGGCTTCTCCCCAGTGTGCACCCTCTGGTGGCTCCGCAGGACGGTACTGTGGTTGAAGGCTTTCCCACACAATGGACACACATATGGCCTCTCTCCTGTGTGGATTCGCTGGTGCTGAATGAGATGAGACAGCTGAGTGAAGGCCTTCCGACACTCAAGACATTCATGAGGCTTCTCTCCCGTATGTATCTTGTGATGCTGAGCAAGATCCGAGCTCACTCTAAAAGCTTTCCCACATTCGTTACACTCATATGGCTTTTCACCTGTGTGGATTCTCCTGTGTTTGCTGAGGACTGAGCTCTGGCTGAAGGCCTTCCCACAAACCCCACACACATAGGGCTTCTCTCCAGTATGGATTCGCTGATGCTGAAGCAGATGGGAGCTCCGGCCAAAGCACTTCCCACATTCAGTGCACATGTAGGGTCTCTCCCCTCCAGGAACCACCTGCTGCTGAGTGAGTGGCATGGTCTCACTCAAAATCTGAATCTTATGGTGGCTAACAGGGTTTTGATCCAGACATAAGCTTTTTTCATTATTTTCTTGGTCAATCTTCCCCAAAGGTGTTTTCCCCAGAATCTTGGTTATTTCTTCTGGAATTAAAGGCTTTAGACTCAAGTCTGTCATTTGGTTCTCTCTCTTGATTTCACATTCTGAAACAAATCCAAAATGAAAACATTAGTACTACTCAAAGCTACAGTGTAAGTACAACCTTGAGGTTGGCTCTGCTGCTAAAGGTGCTATCTTTGGGTGCACATAGCCATGTAAATTGGAGAGCACTCAAAGTGCACTGAATTACACCACTGGGAATCAGAAAACAAGTTTCCAAATGGAACAGGGAGGTTTCAGAGAAAAATGCAACTCCAGTCTGAGGTCACCTGCCTTTGTGGGGTGCACACAGCAGCAGGACACAGCACCAGGCCCAGCCTGTGCTGAGACCTCATGTAGAGCAGGGACAAGTGCAGGGCAAGACAACACTTGGACAGTGAAGGCCAGGGTGGGGTGGGGTGGGAAAGGCTCTAGCTCTAGTGTACAGGTTGAGGGAAGCCATCCTGGGGCTGACAGATTGTGTGGCAACGCTGTGACCTTTGTAAGAAACGGTGACCTCTGTGAGACAATTTCATGTGGAGAATGCATAGGGGTGGGAGGTTGAAAGGCTGGAGACATAGAAGGATGTGATGGGAATCTGGTACCAAGTAGGAACATAAACCCTGCAGGAAAGGCAACAGGGATTGTAAGAAAGGCTGCAGTAGTGGCACTCCTGGGTCAAGCAGTGTGCTCTGTAGGCCAGTTGTCGAGTCTCGCTTCATTCTTTTCAGCTTCTTCCATGTAAATGGCAGCTATCTCAGCTCCATTTCTTTGTTGTCAGCTCTTCCCAGCAGCATAAGGAGATGAGGGTGCTGAGGACAACAGGATTTGACAAGGTGCTACTCAGGCAAGACCTCCAGGGTCAAGCACAGTTAGGAGGACAAACTATGCGCAGAGAGCTCACTCCACCAAGGACACTCAGTACGGGTCCTGGCCACACACCAGGCAGGGGACCAAGAGGAGCTCCAGCTTATCAGTAGAATGTGTGAGGCCCTTTAGTTTTCCTGAAGGTGAAAGGGCCATGGGTCTCTTCTGCAGCACGAGATGACAATGGCGCAGCCTCCTGTGGTGTCATCTCAGCCCTGGGGCTTGGCATATCACCCTCAACCACTAACGCCCTTACCCTCAACGGCCTGTGCTGGGGAAGTCCTGAGTGAAATGTCACACCCAAGTGATGTTGCAGGATGAGAAGCACCTTGATGGAATGATCAGAGGGAATTCTCACTCTTCTCTGTTGAAGGACACGCCCAGTTATGGCAGGTATAGTAGGGTCAACAACCCATAGGAGAGCAGATTTGGCTAACTCCGACCTAGAAGTACTGGAGATAATGGGTTGCCACAGCCCTGAAGTGTGTCTGGGTGAGTGGGGGCAACTGTTCCTTTACCACTCCTTCTTCTCCAGGGGAGGAAGAATAACTGACTTAACTTGATAGTTTGGATAAGAACTGAACTTTTTCAGCTCAGCTGCTTCGTGGCAACTGGGCTGCTCTCAGTGGGCCCAAATTCCGGTCTGCTCCTCCACATCTGAGACCTAGTCAGGCCCCCCAATGTGGGGAGCCCATTGGTGCCCCCTTACTGCCTGGATGCAGTGGTAAGTTTGTCTCATTTTGTCTCTGTACCAGGAACCACCTCTGAATGGCAATAAATCACGTTTTCCAGCTGTACTTTATCTGTCAATGATGCTTTTATATCCCAGGAGCCTTGCTTGTATGAGTATATTTGGTAGTAGCTTTGAGATACAAGTGTTACTTTTTAATTGGTTCAGAACTTGATATGGGAAGACAGATGTTTTTGAATGGGTTTTCTCAAAAACCAACAAGAACACTTAAAAAATAAAGAGATGTGGAATCCCAAAGGGTCCGTCCAAAGTGCTGAGGGATCTTTTAAGATGCGTAGGGACTCTGCCTAGCAGGTAGGTAAAGAATGTCATTTTCTTTCTTTTTCTTTTTCTTTTTTTGGAGAGGTTTTTGCTATAGGGTGCATGCGCTCACCAGACAGACAGACAGAAAGCAAGACATCACCCCCCAGGGGGATGGTCACACTGCAATCCTTTCTCCTCCGTTCCCCTCTCGGGATCTTGGGCACGCACGCACATGTGCCCGGCATGAGGTTTAAGCCACCGGGTCTGGGATGTGAACCACGGTCGACTACATGCGAGTCTGGTGACATAGCCATTACGCTAACTGCTGGTCCCAAGAATGTCGTTTTCTGACAGGTCCAAAAACCTTTCAAGTATAGATACTTTTTTAAAAGCACAATCAGATGGTGATGTTCTTGGCTTGGTAGCTTTGGGAGGTTTGTCAAAGAGTTTAATCTGAAGTTTCCGGCAAAGCCAACTAAATCAGATAGTTTTTTTTTTTAAGAGAGACTTCTGCTATAGGGTGCCTGCGCTCGCTGGAGAGACTGAGAGAGAGAAAATGAGAAATCATCCCTGGGGGGATGGCCATGCCACAATCCCTTCTCCTCTTGGGATCTTGGGGACACACATGCACATGCGCCTGGCATGAGTTTAAGCCACCGGGTCCGGGACTCGAACCACGGTCGACTATGTGGGAGTTCAGTGACATAGCCATTATGCTGGTCCCTCATCATAGTGGTTTTGAGTTCCATCTTAATGATCAGTGAAGCTGGGCATGTCCTCATTCATTGGTCCTTTGATTTTCCTTTTCTCTAAGGAACCTGTTCCAGTTTTGTGCCCACTTTTCTCACTGGGAATTTCTACATATTTTTAATCTCCTCAGACTAATTAATGTACTAATTAATAATCAATTAATGGGCCAGGAAGTGGCCTGGTGGTTGAGGCACTGGACTCCTACATGGCTGACCGTGGTTTGAGTCCTGGACCTGGTGGCTTACTTTCTCATTCTCCCTCTCTGTCTCTCTCTGGTGAAATTGAAGAATAATAATAACTGACATTAAATAAATAATTTTAATTAAAAAAAAAAAGCAATTAAGCATATACCATAATGGGACCTGAACCACAGTTGGCCATGTGGAGTCCAGCGCTCCTAACCACCATGCCACCTCCTGGCCCTGACATACCTTATTTTAAAAAGTTATACTACGTGTTTTTTAAACTGACTGACAAGCTGAGACCAGCAGATGGTGTAATGGTTACATCACTGGACTCCCACATAGTCGACTGTGCTTCAAGTCCTGGACCTAGTGGTTAAAACTCATGCTGGGTGCCCTATACCAAAAACAAACAAACAAAACCCCAAACAACAACAACAACAAAACTCTCTAAAAATAATAATAATTTTCTTTTGAGGGCTTTTTGCTATAGGGCGCATGTGCTCGCCAGAAAGAAAGAGAGACAGAAAGCGAGAAATCATCCCCCGGGGGGATGGCTACGCCGCAATCCCTTCTTCTCCATTCGCCTCTAGGGATCTTGGGCATGCACACATGTGGCCAGCATGAGTTTAAGCCACCAGGTCTGGGACTTGAACCATGGTTGACTACGTGGGAGTCCAGTGACATAGCCATTACGCCAACTGATAGTCCCTGAAATTATTTACTTATTATTATTTTTTAAAGTTTTTGGGGCTGGTAGGTGGTATGGTGGTTGAGGACACTGGATTCCCACATGGCTGACCGTGGTTTGAGTCCTTGACCAGGTGGCTTACTTCCTCTCTCTCTGTCCCTCTCTGGTCAAACTGAAATAAACAAATGAATAAAGTTAAATAATTCTCTAAAAAAATAAAAGAAAGTTTACTATAGGGCACATGTGCTCACCAGAGAGACATAGAGAGGGAAAGTAAGAAAACAAGCTACCAGGTCCAGGCCTCGACTGTGGCTGACCATGTGGGAGTCCAGTGCCCTAATCACCCTGCCACTTCCTGGTACCAAGATGACTTTAATAATAACAGAAAATTATTGTACATGAGTTTTTACTCAATCATTCATGGCACAAAAACAATGCATGACCGTTTGCAGACAGACTTGAGCTATGAAGGCCGATGCCAGAACGCACAGTCCTATACCCTGCATCCATGCTGCGCAGGAGCTGGGTTTGCACTAAGACCTGCTTTTAGAATGATGACCTCAGTTGCTTTAAGTACACAGTAAGGAAGCATGTTGTGTCAGAAAACAAAGGGAAAACGTGATTCCACTGAAACAAAATTTTAACTAAAAGAATCCCTCTAGTGTTTTGTAGGGATTATGTGAGTTGTGAAATGGGAACACAGCACCTTGGGGAGTCACTTTACATGCTGATAAATCATGAGCATTAACTTCAAGGATAGTACTGAATTTAAAAGATCACATGGGGGGAACCAGCAGTTAGTGTAATGCCTATGTTGCTGGACTCCCATGTATTTGACCGCGGTTCGCATCCTGGACCCGGTGGCTTAGAACTCATGCCGGGCGCATGTGCGGGCATGCCCAAGATCCTGAGAGGAGAATGGAGGAGAAGGGATTGCGGTGTGACCATCCCCCCTGGGGGGGTGATTTCTTGCTTTCTGTCTCTATGTCTCTCTCTGCCTGTCTGGCAAATGCACACGCCCTATAGTGAAAAAGCACCGCCCAAAGTGAAAACCACCAAAAAAAAAAAAAAAAAAAAAAAAAAAAAGATCACATGGGGGCTGGCAGGAGGTGGTGTGGTGATTAAGTTGTTGGACTCCCTCAAACTCCACGGTTTGAGTCCTGGACCTGGCAGCTTGTTTTCTCACTTTCCCCTTTTCTCTCTGATCAAATTAAAAAATAAGAATAACAAAAAAATAAAATTTAAAAAAAAAGTTGAATAAATACTTTTTTAAGATCACATACACACTTACCCCATGGACAAGATAAACTGTCTTGATGCATACAGGCTGTAGTGTGGTCACATTTAAGGTTGTCTGTAAAAGGAACAGAGGATCAGCAGTTGGTATAATGGTTATGTTGCTGGACTCCCATGTAGACGACTGCGGTTCAAGTCCTGGACCTGGTGGCTTAAACTCATGCCAGGTGCATGTGTGTGCGTACTCAACATCCTGAGAGGAGAACAGAGGAAAAGGGATTGTGGCCACCCCCCTGGGGGGTGATTTCTTGCTTTCTGTCTCTCTTTCTGGCAAGTGCATGCCCCCTATAGCAATACCCCTCACCCCCGGCAAAAACAAAAAACAAAAAAACAACAACAAATGGGTGGGGCCAGCAGGTGGTGTAGCGGTTAAGATGCTGGACTCTCAGATGGTTGACCGCAGTTCAATTTCGGACTTGGTGGCTTGAAAATGATGCCGGTGCATGCCAAAAATCACATGAGGAGGACGGGGAAGTGATCGTGGGATGGCCATCCCCCCTGATGGGATTATTTCTCATTTTCTCTCTCTTTATATCTCTCTGGTGAGCACATGCTCCCTAAAGCAAAAACCTAAAAAACAACAACAAAAAAAAATCCCAGCAGGGGTGGGGCCAGCAGGTGACATGATGGTTAGGTTGCTGGATTCCCAAAAGGCCAGCCACAGCTTTGAGTCCCAGACCCAGTGGCTTTAAGACCACCTCAGGTGTGTGTGTGTGTGTGTGTGTGTGTGTGTGTGTGTGCGTGTATGCCCAAAATCCTGTGAGAATGGAGAAGGGAATGCAGTGCGGTAATTCCCCCTGGGAAGTGATTTCTCTCTTTTCCTCTCTGTCTCTCTCTGGTGAGCAGAGACACCCTATGGCAAAAACCTAAAACAATACAGAACAAATAAACCAAAAAACATGGGTAGAGCACACATTTATCCCAAGAAGTCCATCATGCCAGGGCACACTGGCCTCCAGGGAGCCCACACGGGTTTGAGAGCAGATGCAATGTGCCGTCTGTGCTTTCTTGCCTCCTACGGCTGCAGTCAGCAGTTTAAAAAGTTCTGTGTAAGATTTTCATAACATAATGTTGTGTCTTGTTTATGGTCACTGGAAAATTAAATTCCTTGAAAGCTGGCATGTCCAGTGCTCCTCAGAGGATATGAGGCTGTAGGCTGATAAGAGGCAGTCTGTTTTTAATCCACTTTTCTGTCCATGTCTCTACAGACCAGGAGCAGCTTTCAGAGGGAAAAGCAGCATATCTGAGACACTGAAGCCCAGCCAAGCCAAAAGTGGTGCCGCCATCCCCACACCAAGGAGGGCACATCCTGGCAGGGCAGGCAATTCACAGTTTTTCTGGGATTCAGATATCACCTTCCTGCAGTCAGAGGTTATCTGCTTAAAGCCACCGTGACTTGAGCATCATGGCTGGATCTATCTGTATTAATACAATCTTCCCTCTTAAAATTTTCTCCAGAGAAGTCCTGCTCATCTTTTGTTAAGTTATTCCCAGAGTATTTATATTTCTGATGCTGTTATAAATATTATCTTTTTTTTTTCTTCCCTCTGGAGAGGTTTTTTGCTATAGGGCACGTGTGCTCGCCAGACAGACAAGAGAGACATAGAGACAGAAAGTGAGAAACCACCCCCCAGGGGGGATGGTCACACCGCAATCCCTTCTCCTCCACTCTCCTCTCGGGATCTTGGCACGCACGCACACATGCCTGGCTTGAGTTTTAAGCCACCGGGTCCGGGAAGCGAACCGCGGTCGACTACGTGGGAGTCAAGCGACATAGCCATTACGCTAACTGCTGGTTCCCTAAATATTATCTCTTAAAAAAAAAATATACCTCTGTTGCTGAAGAATAGTACAACTGACTGTGTACCTAGCAACACTGTTAAGTTCTCTTGTGAATTCTAAGCAATCTTTTTCCAAACTGACAATCATAAAGACCACAAACAACTTCTCTTTGTCTGTTGAATTCGTACAGCTTTAGTAACAAGTTTTGTTTATTTTGCCTTTTCATACAAGGGGACCCCAGTACAATGTTATCTAGCAGAGATGGTAGGCTCTTCTGTCTTGCTCTTGAGCTCCAACAGTGAGCTTACAGCTCTTCATCATGAGTATCAGGCTGAGAATGGTTCATGGTTCATTGTCATTCAAATTAACCCTCAAAACCTGAACATTCCATGGGGAATGCAATAGGCAAACCACTCTTCACGCCTCTGGCCTGGGACAGAAGCACTACATCTATGCCACAACCTCTCCTGCCTTGGCTCTGCACAACAGCCTTCTTCCTCTGCATTCAGCTCTTTCTCTTGACTATGCTCCTTGCTATACTCGCTTCATGCCATGGACTCCTGCCCAGTTCAGCAACTCCCAGCCCAGGCTCTACTGTCAGGCCTGCAGGTCTTGTCTGGGTGGAACCCACTGTCAGTGGTTCAGTCTGAACTAAGCCCATAGTTGCTCAGAGCCTGCTCAGCCCTCAGTGCGGAGGGGCCAACTTCCTTCACTCACCTGAGGGATCACTCCCCAGGTCCTGGCTTTTCTCAGCCCTCTGCTTGTCCAGGACCCATGGCTCTTCTCCTCGCTCCAGCTGGGAGATGATGTCTGGCTTCGATCCTGGAAGTCCTACTCATGGGGAGGGAAGTCTTTTATCTACATAATGTTTATCAGGTTCCCTTCCCCTGCCCATGCCACAGGACCAACCTCCTGCTGGATTTGGGCAACTGGGAAGGTGATACAGCAGGCCTCCATGACCAGCCTGCCCTGAGGCCCTCCCCAGGCTCCTCCATGTCCCAGTCCTGACAGACACTTAAAAGGGGACTGCTGAGAGGCCTTACCCAGTGAGACCACGTTCCCGTAAGTCTCCATCATCACATTTCGATAGAGGCCCCTCTGTGCCGGCCCCAGGCGGTCCCACTCCTCCTGGGAGAGGAGCACAGCCACATCCTCGAAGGTCACTTTGGCCTGGAACAACAGGGGCTGCTTTGGGTAAGACCGAATCTCAATGTGACAGGGACTAGGTAAATGTGTCACTAGCAGTTGGGGCAGCAGGAGCATCCTGTGAGCCATAGTTCTGCCTCTGGCTCAGGCTGGAGGCAATGTTCAGGCCTTAGGGACAGCTCACCTGTGGTCTGGCCGGCAGTGGCAGAAGTCCGGCTGCTGCCATCGCTTGGTCTCCTGGGGCTTCTGAAGACAGTGGAGAATTACGGAGCAGCCTGTGGTGCTGAGGAAGAGAAGAGCATACATGAGAGGCCTGGTCCTGCCCTCAGCAGACCAACTCACCAGGGGACCCTTAGGAGCTCTGGGCCTCAAGTAGTCAGTGAGAGGCATACTGAGGTGAGGCCCTAGGAGATATAGTCACTGCAGCCCTCTTCTGCCTTGCACCATCCTCAATGAACTCTGGCCTTACAGTTCAGGAGCTTGTTCATTCCCTCAACAGACAGGTGATTTCTGGGCCTACCTAGGCCAGTGCTGGACTGTCTGCTGTGGGTCCACGAGGTCCTATTTAACAAGTGCCAGGGGTCTCTGAGTACCAGGCACAGGGCTCAGGGCCGCAGCGGTTCTCACGGCTGGAGAACACACCTATGTGTGGGAGATGCTAAGGCCGCTGGGCTCTGCTCAGATCATCTTGGCCCTGGCCCATAGTTCTGCCTGCATGCAAGGACAGCAGCTCACCAGAACCCTGGGTATTCTCCTGGGTGGCACACAGGTTCCAGACTGTCATGGCTCAGGGGAGCCTAGGGACATCAGGCTACACTGCCTCCCAAGACACTTCCCAATGAGGACTGGTCTGGCCACTGCAGGGAGTGAGATGGATCTGCTAAAGGCCCACACTCTGTGGGGACTCCACTCACCATATCCTGTCATGACTGGATACCCTCTAGTGGCCCTGGTGGTCCAATGAGGTAAGGGCTCTCAGCCTGTGGCTGAACCAGGGAGTCAGAAGTAGAGCCATGACAAGTGGTCAGTTCTGGGTGAACTGAGCCTAGCGTGACCCAGGGATCTGTTCTGAGCACCTGAAGGAAGACTTGTCATGAAATGAGAAGCAGATCTGGAGGCAGGCAGCCAGGGACAGAATAACCTCATTTCCCTTAAAAATAGCAAACATGAGAGGTCCTCAAAAAATTCACAGAAAATATGTCTTCTGAAAATATTATGCATGGACTACGAAACTTTTTGCACCAAAATAAACTCTTATTTTAATTATATTTTTCCATAAACTTCTGAAGTCCCTTCATATGTGTATTTGCACAGATTATGTTCAGGAAGATCCATAATAAATTAGCAGCTGCCTCTGAGGAACAGACAGGGAGATGGAGTGGAAATGAGACACACCGTCCCGCCACTCTCCAAAACGCTCTCCCCCATCACAAGAATGCAAGGCAGCTGGACTAGAACTTCTACAGAAGTCTTTTCTTTTTGGAGAGGTTTTTGCTATATGGAGTGTGTGCTCACCAGACAGACAGAGAGAGACAGAGAGACAGAAAGCAAGAAATCACCCCCCGGGGGGGATGGTCACGCCACAATCCCTTCTCCTCCATTCTCCTCTAGGGATCTTGGGCACGCATGCACATGCGCCTAGCGTTTTAAGCCACCAGGTCTGGGACGTGAACTGCGGTTGACTACATGGGAGTCCAGTGACATAGCCATTACGCTAACTGCTGGTCCCCTACAGAAGTCTTTCAAAGGAGTGAATAATTCCACCCTAGAAGTTGTATGAACAATGGGCCATCCAGGTGGGGTGGAGATTATGGAGCTGGATTGCATATGGCCAACTACATGGTTTGAGTTCTGGACCAAGTAGCTTGAAAATCTTGCCTGGCACGTCTAGATGTGTACCCGAAATCCCAAGAGGAAACTGGAAGATAAGGGACTGTGGTGAGGCCATCCCCAATGGGGGTAGATTTCTGACTTTTTCTCTCTCTTTCTGGTGAGCACACATGCCCTGTAGTAAAAACAAAAACAAGAACAAAAATGAAGTCATGTGAACAATGAATGCTAGAGGATAATAACAGAATATGAAAGAGCAGGGGTAGAGCCACCTTGCCAGGCATCAGAACCGCAATGAAACTGGTACAACCAAACGGGAACTGTGAGAGGAAGGATCAGGCCAGACAAGGGACACATAGGAATTTAACAGTGAGGAAAGACACATTTCAGCCCAGGGGGAAACTGTACATATCCAGTTGGGATAGCCCATAACTATCTGGGATGAAGATGGAACAGCAATAGTTTCACCTGCTCTGGCTCCCCAACTCCTGGCCCCCAGAGCCAACGGCCACTCCCCTGAAGAGTGATGTACCTTCTCATCATCCACTGTCTCTTTCTGTGGATCACCTACCAGCACAGAGGCCTAACACCTCTCTTATTGTTCAGTCATTCTCTTGGGGACCACACCCTTGGCCAGCTACCTGCCCATGAGGCCTTTGTCCCTTCTCTCCTTTGGGATGTCACCCTTTCCTAGCCCTGAAGCAGTCCTTTGACTTCTATGTGGCCAAAACCAATGCCAATGCCTGGTCCTGGCTCTTCCAGCCAGGTCTTCTCGCTATGCCTCCCTCTGCCACTTCCCTCCCCATCCACATGGCTGGGCAATCCTTCCATTCTCACTTGCATGTGACTTGGTGGGCGCACAGCCCTGGTGCCTTGGAAACTAGCAGAGGTAGATGGTTATTTGTATATGGCCCTGATCACACCTAGGCTGAATCCAGCAGAGAGTATCTGCAGGGCATCCTGAACAGTCTCCGAGATGCCACAACTGACAGGAGACTCCAGCTTCTGCATCCCTGTCTGTGTGTGTGTGCGCCCTCCCTGCAGGACTGCAGGACCCCACCAGTTTCTCCATGAACCCAGTGCTTGGCATGGCCATCCCACAATTCTGAATGTTCAGTTGAACCCAGGGGGTTTCTTTTGGTACCACTGAGCTGGTAATTCCTCTTTTCTCTGACTCAACATCTCCATGTGGGTGTCTTTTAGCATCTTAGACACTTCACACCCCACACCGAGCACCTCTCATTCCTCACCATCTCTGCTTAAGCTCCGACTGCAAACTTGTATATAAGCGTTTCCCTGGTTCTCTCCCTTCCAAGTGCATCCAGAACCTGAACATGCTGCCTGCTCCATCTCCCTCTCCTGTGATCACTCCTCTCAGCACAGTCCTGCATTTGCCCAGCCCTCCCTTGGGAACACAGACTGTCCTCTGCTCCAAGGTCCTCCCAAGCTCTTGCACAGCTGCTATGAGGTCGCTCTGACCTTACAATCTCCCTCAGAGCCTGCAGCCCCTCACTCCGTGGCCTGCGGTTCTCAACCACTCTTGGAGGGCTCTACCCTCTGGCCCCAAGAGACCTGACCCCACCCAGCTCTCATACAGGCCTTCCAGTTGCACTAGTAGGCCCGGAAGTAGGCTCAGACAAGTTTAATGAAATAAAGGAGCAGCGAAGTCAGACTCTACATCCTCGGAACAACATGTAAGGAGGGAACACCTGCCACTGGTAGGGATGGGAAGTGGAGTTTCTCATGGTCTTTCTCAGAAAGGCTGCCTGGCAGTAATTAGGCAAATCAGGTCTTCAGCTAGTGGGTGCCTACAGGGATGAATGCAGAAGAGGCGCAGTGCCACAGCAATGCCACCATAATCTCTCTCCACACAAAGGCATCTGCTAAAGAGAAAGAGCAAGACCATGACTGTGGGTGAAAATGCAGGACACAAACATATATGGGTGCTCTCGTTTCGCAAAACATGATCCTCAGTCTGTGAAAGGGCATGTGATACAAGGTCCCAGCCATCTGCCTCCCTCTTCTTGGGCCAGCTGTGCTATGGACACACCTGCAAATTCGAATGACACTACTCTGAGGGCCTCACAAGGATGACATGGCCAGTGAGAGGAGACTGCATGGAACAGGCCTGGCTCAGAGTCCAATGCTGCTCAGCAGGTGGTGCCATCTGGCTGTTATATCAGCAACAGAGAAATCACACTGCACAGCACACCGAGCTGCCAAATTGGGTGTGGCCCGAGGAGGGGGACAGGAAGAGATCTGTCCCTGGGGTGAAAAACAACAACAGGGGCCAGCAGTTGCGTGGTGGTTAAGGGTGCTGGACTCCCACATGACTGACCATGGCTCAAGTCCTGGACCTGGCAGCTTGCTTTCTCACTTCCTCTCTCCCTCACTGTGTCCCTTTGGTCAAATTAAAATAAATGAATAAATAAATAAAGTTAAATAATTGTTTAAAAAAAAACATAAAAACAAAAGGCAGTGTCAGATCTCTACATAAAGATGACCTTCACTATTACCCAGAAAAAAAATAGCATGTTGCAAAGCATGGCTGTATTTTGGTTAAAAATAAAGAAAAGAATAAAATCAGGGAGAGCAGGTGGTATGGTGGTTAAGGTACTAGACTCCCACATGGCTGACCACAGTTCAAGTTCTGGACCTAGCAGCTAGCTCTCTCACTTTCTCTCTCTGGTCAGCACATACACCCTACAGCAAATTAAAAAATAGTAATACTAACTAAAATTAAATAAAAATTCTTAAAAAAAAAAAGAATAAAATTAATCTACTCCTATGCCACTATATGGTCCCCCAACAAAATTATTTTTAAAAGTAGCACTAGGTAGTGTGGTAGTTTACAGCATTGGACTCCCTCATGGCCAACCGCAGTTAAGAGTCCTGGGCCCAGTGGTTAGAAAAATCACACTGGACACGTGTACATGTATGCCCAAAATGCCAACAGAAGAATTTATTTTTCTTTAAAATATGGAACACTTCACGAATTTGCATGTCATCCTTACGCAGGGGCCATGCTAATCTTTTCTGTATTGTTCCAATTTTAATATATGTGCTGCCAAAGCAAGCATGAGAGAAGGGGGGACTGTGGTAATGGCCACCCCTCCGAGGCAGTGATTTGTCATTTTCCCTATCTCTAGCTCTCTCTTTTTTTAAATTTAACTTTATTATTATTATCATTATTATTTTCCAGTTTGATCAGAGAGACAAAGGGGGGGTGGTAGTGAGAAAGGAAGCCACCAGGTCCAAGACTTGAACCGTGGTCGGCCATGTGGGAGTCCAGCGCCTTTAACCACCATGCCACTTGCCGGCCCCTCTATCTCTCTCTTATGAATACTCATGCCCTATGACAAAAATTTGACCAAAAAAATAACACAAAATAGTTTAAAATTTTCCTGTTCTTTCACCTTGGCAGATGAAGATCTGGAACAAGTCTGTGACATG